GGTATGTAGCTTAGGAAAACGTCCCAGGCAATTCATGACAATATCTATTAGTAAATAGATATTTAAATGAGCATCTTTACATTTGAATTTTTGCCAAGAAAGTATCTTAACTTTTACTTTCCATCTAGTCAAGAAAAGCATTTGAACCTCTCCTGGGCACTGCAGCACTGTAATCTGCCTTCCTAACCATTACCAGGGCTTCTCAGGGATTTGGGTATGTCCTAATTGACTCTGAGGCAATTTATTCCTCGGAGGAAGTCACTGTAAACTTAGAATATCAACCCTTACTCTTCTTCCAGCCAAGGGGACATAAGACCCAAGAACAACGATGTGTTCAGTTATCTAGGTGAACATGGGGAAAGAATTAGACAAGAGATTTCCAGGAAAATAAACTTAATGGTATACATAAATTTTATGAAAACCAAAACTGAGGGGATTGTAGTTCTTTTTCTACAGCCCTAAACTTATTAAAAGTGAAGGCAAAAGCAAGATACTTCCAATCAGGAGGAGGAAGGGAAACACTCAGAATTCTGAAACAGGCCTGTGTGAGGGGACAGTGGCTACTCAGTAACTCCTGCTACCTGCGATAAGAATGCCTAGGGTTCATAAAACTAGTTTAACCAAACTTGGTCCTACAGGCCCTCTGGCTTGAAAACATTATTTACTTATGATTGTGCTCCAGTATTGCTTCTAATTCTTACAGGGCAGCTGCATCATTTTTTAAAAATCAGAAAACAAAAAGGCAGAGAATTTTCAGGGGGAAGGGAGTATATTCTGAGATGTAGTAAAATCGGTCATTGTAAACAAGATAGGCGCTAAGTCAGAGATGAGTGACTAAGCTCAGCCTTTAAGGGAAATTTCCTGTCTTGGTTAGTTTGTTTTTGAGTTAAAGAGTACTCCTGAGGATTTTTCCAGTCCACGTTTCCAACAAAGGAGAGGGGCTGAGATCCCATCTCCTTTCCACATAATTTTTAAAAATAAGTAATAATATCATGTCCACTAAATTGCATGCTGTTTTCTTTAATGGGAGTAAATAAGAGAGCTCTTTGCTCTGAACACGTAAGAGAATGTCAGACACTCTCATACTAATGCTGATCATTAGCTCATTGTTGAACATGGTAACAGTAGAGTACGACAACTAAGATTTTGAGAACATAGCCAGCGGCGAGCCAGGGAAATCATTCACATGAAGTTAAAGGATCATTTGCATACAAACACCATGCTTAACACTGGGAGCCAGTTCCCTTCTTTACGTAGTCCAATAAGAACTCTTCTGTGCCCCCCAACTCATCCTGCTGCCCAGTCTCCTACAGAGACTCCCAGGCAGAGGTTCAAAAAGGATCATTTTGTACATGTTCTGCATTCCCTCAATGATCCACCACTTATCACTTCTCCATCCTATGTTCATCAACTTCCCAGACAGGCAGCCACCCTAGTCACCAGGTTCCACATGCCAATTGACTGAGGCTACTCCCGACACAGGGCAAACGGAGCTTCAAGTGTGAGCACACTTATTTGCATTTGAAAGTTTTGATCATTGTTCCAGCTGGGTAATGTGGCCTTTCAGTGCCATTTATTTTATATATGCAGTCTATATCTGTCCTTGTGCTCGGTGGAAGGTTGGGGATGGGGTCGCAAAGATAAATCAAGACATGGTCCCTGCCCTCAAAGTATAGCCAAGTAGAAACCACCAACACATAGATACCTAAAATGCAGTAAATGCCATAAAAAAGGTATGAATAAAAAGCTAAGAAAGACTCATGCAGAAGCAATTAATTCTTCCTGGAAAGCGAGAGATACAATGTTTAAGTTGGGCTTTACAGGATATGCAGGTTTGCAAAGTAGACAGGGAATGGAAACCCAAGTCAAGCCATAGAAAGAGTATGAGGTATGCGAGTACACAGGCAATCTGGGTGGACAGTATTGCGTGTCAAGGTAGAAAAGACAGGGTACGTTATGAAAGGTAGTAAGGACTGTGAAGATTCTTCTATAGGCAATACAGGTCTTCTGGAAGGGTGTGTTCCCAGATCAGATTTGTCTCAGAAACACAATTTAGATGGAACTGTGGGGGCTTTCATGGGTTTAGTAGCCTTTACTGACAATTTGGGAACCTTCTGGGGGAAAGGTTGTATTACACAAGGTGTGATCAAACAATACGGTGAATGTTTAAATTTAAAAAAAAAAATATTATTACAATAAAAGACACATTGTCATTAATTCCCCTCAAAATACTCCCCCTCACTTCCAACACACTTATCCTATCTTTCTTGCCATTTTCTGAAGCAGTTCTGGAAGTCCTCTTTCATGAGTGTCTTTAGTTATGCTGTTGTGGCTGCCTCGATGTCCTGAATCATGTTGACTTTGGGGAAGAGCCAGAAGTCGCACGGTGCCAGATCCGGTGAATAAGGTGGATGAAGACACACCATAATTTTATTAGATAGAAACTGCCATATACCAGAAGCGATGTGTGACACGGAGCATTGTCATGATGGAGGATGATTTACAGCACACTTTAAAACACACCTTCTCTCAACCATAGCTCACACCCAACCGACTGCATGGAACAAGTTGAAACTTGTCACACATTGTTACTAAGGTTCAATGCACCACTTCTCATATTGAAGATCCCTGCCTTTCCATTGGATGGCACTCGGCAGCAGCATTCACTGTATTTTGTGATCACAATGGAAAGGCTCCGTGTCACACATTGCTTCTGGTATGGCAATTTCTGTCAAATAAAAACATTACAGTGTGTCCTCATCCACGTTATTCACCAGAACTGGCACCATGTGACTCCTGGCTCTTCCCCAAAGTCAGAATGATTCAGGACATCGAGGCGGCCACGACAGCACAACTAAAGGTACTCACAAAAGAGGACTTCCAGAACTGCTTCAGAAAGTGGCAAGGACGATGGGATATGTGTTTTCTAAGCGAGGGGTAGTATTTTGGGGGGGATTAACAGCAATGTGGTTTTTACTATAATAATTTTTTTTTTTAATTTAAACATTCACTGTAGTTTTTGATCACACCTCATATAGTGCACACTCCATCCTCATGTTAAGGCTGGTCTCTCTCCTCCTATCTGGGCTCCTCAGCTCTGGAAAGTTCCAACTTCTTAACTATGCAGAGCAGCTTCTCTGCTTCTCAAAAGTCTTGGCCCCAGCTACTATTCCAACCTACAGGGACTCACTTCTATGCTCAACAATTATCAAAGCGTTTTTCTAAATAAAGGCAGTTATTTTGTTAAGAGAAATTCTGGTAACAGCTGTTAAATATAATTTTCTATATAAGCTGTACTATAAATTTATCTCATCACATGCATATGAATCATCTAGATTATCAACAATATTCTAAACATTTTTCACACAATGGAAACTATCTATGAAACATAATTATGCTTGAATAATACAAAGCAGTATTCCCAAATTCATTCCAGCATTTTAATATTCAAGATAAAATAACTACAGAATACTATGTTAAACTTGTTGTTGTTTTTTTAAAAAGGTTTATTTGTTACAAAATGTTAAATACTAAAGCTAAAAACATATAAATTCAGGTCAGGCTATATTAAAATACACACATACCCTTCTTTGCAAAATTATTAAAGATTGAATGAAACAGACACTTAAAGTAAAATACTCTTGACATTTTTGTCTAATTAACTGTATTAGTATAGTGTAGTTTTTAAAATTATAGTTGAAAAGTTTAGTTGTCTCAGAAGTCAAATTTATCCAATTCTTCAGTTTTCTGCTACTGCCTAACACGAAGTCTGCATGCTGGCTTGATGAATTTCAGTTATGTTACTGAAACTTCTATATCACAAGCCTACTCTCCTACAATATGAACACAGAGTAGTCAGAAGTATATAAAGGGTTACATAAGGTGAAAACCTGGCCTAGAAAGAAATGGCCTTAATTGTACAATACCGTATCTTATCTAATTAAAATGATTGGTAAATATATCGAAGCAGAGACCAGTACAGAGCATACATTCATCTAGAAATAATCTTTCACTTAAAAAACAAAACCCAAAAGAGTACTCATTTCTACAAGATAGCTTAAAAGTATTTTTAAATTTCTTGTTATTTTAAATTGAGTTAATTCAAAGGTTTTAATCTCAGTTTAAAATCTAATTTGATTACCGTTCCGACTACTCTGGAGAGCCGTGACATCTGCATGTTTGAGTCACTCACACAGGTGGCAAAGAATTTTCATAATAAAAACTACATGTTCAATACCAACAGAATGCCAACTTCCAAACTCAACTCGAAGCAACTCCAAAACTATCTATGGTCTATTTAAAGGTTAAATAGTATTTGCAAGAAAATATTTTGCTGTAGAACTTATATTTTCCAATTTCCTAGATTAAGAGTTACTAATTTAGAATTTTAAGTGCTGTAATTCACATAGGGGTAAGAATATGCTTTATGAAGAACAAAATGCTATCATTATATTTTAAAAGTTCTTAAATGTGAGTGAATTTCTAGAAATACACTACAGTATCTATTGTTTACAATGCTTATCCTTGTAAAATGGGATTTGCCAATAGTTGATTAACTCAAGTGATTAAAATACAAAACACAAAATGCATTCCAGTAATCTTCATCAACACAATTCAAATAAAATCAGGTTTCTTGGAAGACATATGCAGGGAATTTGTATTGTTTTACTCTGTGTTGGTATATATCTAAGGACTAACTGTATGTGATTCTAATGCTACAGTATAAAACCATTTAATCAAACCTTTGAACAGTTGGAAAACTATGTGTATTCTCAAGTAAGTGGAAATTAAAAAGAAAAATATATCCAATACTGCATTACAGATGAAAATGATGCTAGCAATAAAATAGTAATCTAGCTTTCCATCTCTCAGCTTGTGAGCCTCTGATGTAATTATTTTTGTTGACATGTAATACAAGAGAAACTATAATTCTGTTTTCTAGCCTAGTACCATTTTCTCTACATGTAACAAGTCTTTCATTTTATATCCTTTCCTTTAACTTACTACATAATCTTGAAGGGCAAGATTCATGCTACTCCTCATCAAATCACCTTGCGGTCCTCAGAAAGAATTCAAACAATTCAAGCCACTGACATCCTAATCTTAGTAAATACACTAAAACAAAAACGTCTTGAGCTTTCAATAAGGAATTCTCTAGAAAGCATTGTTTCCTATGAGCGTCTTTATAAATTCGTATTAAATCACGCCAGTCACTTTTTACCAAAATCCTGGTCTTACAGAATGATCAATAAAGTAGTTGTTCACCTGTGATAGAGTCAGAGCTGCTTTAAAGCTAAGACAACACAAGGTATTTCTCACTTGCCAGTGGAGGTGGCCGCAGAGGCCCTGGGTGGTAGAGACTTCTCCAAAGATCCCAGAATCCCCATATTCTCTTTTCTCTCCAGAAAGCCTCCTCCTCTTCCCTTGATGTCAGTGCCTCTTTTCTGCTTTCAGGAAGAATGATGTTTGAACAAGAAAACATAGTACATATCCTGCTAGGAGACAGACATAATTCTGGGGACCCGGTACACAGTGGAAACGCAGGGCCCTTCTTCAAACATTATTATGAATTTCAAGACGGCGATAGCAGAGCATTGAACTAAGCAGGGGCCTTTCAAAGCGTGGGTACAACTACACAGGTTACCTCGCCAGAACATCATCCCTGTTTAGGTTTCCCACCTAATCAGAATCCCAGGGAAGAGACAAGGTGGCTCAATTCGGTTGCTCAGATAAAAAAAACAGAATTCTTTTTCATGACTATTCAAACACTGTCACTGATTTGGAACCAAGTGGCATTTCACATTCAAAATCCCAGGCAAATTTACACTCCTCAAGTTTCAGATTGAGCCGTCTTCCCCTAGATTTTTCACTATAGAAATAGTTATACTGGGCCTTTTAATACCCCTTATTTTAACAGAGCAATTCATCAGACATGATAAAATTTCTGTATTAATCCTATATGATTTTTAAAAAAATTTAAACATTTCTTAACTAAGGTTATTAATATCACTAAAGCAAAAGGGCATCTTAAAAGTAGCTGTACAACAGCTTTATACACTAGAGTGACGCTTTAGATTTATTCTATGGTATATTTTGCTCCCTTTTAAGATCACAATAGCAGTTTTTTCAAAGAGAGCTAATAAACACATTAAGCTGTATGGTGATTTTTTTTTTAAACACCCATATTGCAGTCACAAGAATTTTACTGGAATCCAGAGGTATCCCATTCTTCATAATAATAATTTAAAAAGTATATGTATATAAAAGCACAGGTTACATTATTAAGCAACGACATTTCCGGGAGTGAATATACTTCCTGTATTCCGCAAGCTGCTTCAAATACATATTCGATGGCCATCTGTGCTTTTCAACAAAGCTGCGTTCTTCCACTAAAATTTTTAGAAAAAGAATGTTAATTGAATATATTTTATTTGGGATCAAGTTTAGGTATTAATTGTTGGTTTCTTATTTAATGGATGAGATCCAAGCTCTGCTATATACTCCCTGTTCTTCTTTTAAGCCTTCCAAAATCATTGAATACAATTTTGGTTAAATTCGTCATCAGGATACATCTTGTCCATTGTTTCATCAAATAGTATTTGATTATGTTCTTTTTTTAAAAAAAAATATGAGTTGTTTTTCCTGGAGATGATAGCAAACTTTTTTTTTTTTTAATTCATATAATTGTTTTTTTTTTCTTTGTAACTAATTCAACCTTCTAAACCCTTTAAAGTCCTCTCAAGTCTATCTTCCACCAAGCCAATTACCAGATAACCTATCCATTCCTGTAGTGGTGGTGGTGGTGTTGCCCTGGAGACCCTTTTCTTCAGAGCCTTGTACCCTTTTGCTTTCTAGGCCTGTTGCATGCTTTTGTGCGGGATCCCTCCATTCCTGGACTCTCGGTCCTTCACTTTGTTTATTCTCTAGTTTTGGTGAAGCAGAAACTGAAGCTTAGTTTTGGTGAAACTTCCTGAAAAACGGGGGTGCATAAGAAGTATTTTTGAGACCTTGCTTGTGATGAAAAGTCTTTAATCTATCCTTGCACACAATTCATAGTTTGGTTTGGTATAGGACTCTAGGTTGAAAACTTCCTTCAGAGTGTTGGACAGTACTCCACTGCTTTCTAGTTTTCAAGGTTGTTAAGGACTCCATTTCATTACCACTCAAATTCATAGTCCTTGGTAAATGGTCTTTTTTTTTTTAATCCTGTAAACTTTTAGATTTTTCTTTTTACAGTTGGCATTCTTACATGTCACAATGGTGTACCTTGTTCATTCATTAAACTGAGCGCTTAGCAGATCCTTTCAATCTGTTGACTCAGGTCCTTTATTATTGGAATAACTTCCTGTATTATTTCTTGATAATTTTCTCCCTGCTGTTTTTTTTCCCCCCCTGTATTAACTTCATTATTCAGGTACTTCACTTCCTGGACTGAGTTTCCAATGTCTTAAAAAATATTTTCTCTTATAGCTGTCTCTTAATCTTTTTGTCCTACTTTCTGGAAGATTTCCTTACCTTTATCTTTCAACTATTTTATTTAGTTGGTGTTTTTTGCTATCATATTTCCAATTTCCAAGAATGACTTCTTATTCTTCTATTGTTTGTGTTCTTGTTCTTCTATTGTACGTAAATTGTGGTAAAGCACATGTAAAACAACATGAACTATCTTAACTATTTTAAAGTGTGTAGTACATGCTAAGCAGCGTTAAGTACATCCACACTGCTATGCAACCAAAGCTCCAGAACGCTTTCTATCTTGTAAAACTGAAACTCTACACCCATTAAACAACAACTCCCTATTACCCCCTCCCCCTAGTCCCTGGAAATCACCATTCTAATTTTAGTCTTTGCAAATATTGTTTCTTTTTATTTATTTTATTTTTATTGTTATATTTATTTTTTAGTTATTTACTTTTTTAAGCTGAGCCATCCTGCCACCTGTTAGCAGCTCAGTGGCAGCTCAACTCGGGCCGGGACTCGAACCATTGTTGCTCAGAGCTTGCACTCTTGCGTGAGCTCTTAACCAACTGAGCCACTCGGCCGGCCCATTGTTTCTTTTTAATAACATTCTATCCTTACTTTCTTATGGATGTATATCTCTTCTTCTTTGAGGGTATTAAATAGAGTTTGTTTTGTTTTAGGTTTCCTTTTACTCCTTGTGTCTCTTTATTCCTCTAAGTACCTTCTTGTGAGATAATAGAAAGTATATTATTGGTCTCTGCCCCCCGTTCCTGGTACAGGACTCCTGAAACTCTTGTAATTACTTCCATGATAAGAGCACAAGAGGCACGTTGTGTTCTAATATGTGGTGTTTGATCCCAGTTCTAGACACAGGGCTCCTGAAACCTTTGTAATTTTCTGGGTGATAGTATTGTCTTTTGTTCTAACGAGGGCTGGGTAGGCTATTGGATGAGGGCTGGTCACCAGAAAACCATGACTAGAAGCTTAGACCTTTCAGCCCTCTTACCCTACCCCCATTCTCTTAAGAAGGGAAATGATTAATGATTAATGATTCACAATGCCTAAGTGAGGAAGCCTCCATAAAATCCCAAAGTATGGGGATTCAAAGAGCTTCCAGGTTGGTGAACACATCCAAGTGCAGGAAAGGTGACACACCTCCAACTCCACTGGGACAGAAGCTGCTGTACTCCGGACCCTCCCAGACTTCAACCTATGTAATCTCTCTTCATCTGGCTGTTCATCTGTATCCTTTAATAAACTAGTAAACATAAGTGTTTCCCTGAGTTCTGTGAGCCCATCTAGCAAATTAACTGAACCTGAGGAGGGGCTCACTGGAACCTGTGATCTATAACAAGTTGGTCAGAAGCACTGAGCTTGCGACTGGTGTCTGAAGTGGGGTGGGGGACAGTCATGTGGGACTGAGCCCTTAGCCTGTGGGATCTGGCACTATCACTATCTCCAGGCAGTGACAGAATTAAGTTGTAGGATTCCCAGGTGGTGGTGTGGAGTTGCTTGGTACGGGGTAAAACCCCCACACATTTGGTGACCAGAAGTGTCAGAAGTGAAGTATCCTGTGTGAACAGCAAAAGAGACACACAGAAGAAAGACTCACAGGAAAGGAATAACTAGGTAAAAAGACTGTAGGTTTTTCCTATTTGGTTCTCTTTTGGTTTTGTCCATTTTGTTTTGGTTTGCGTATCTATCTTTCATGTTGGACATTGCCTCGAATATCTGTCGATATTCAGTTATCTCTTCATACTGAAGAGTGAGATACTGGAAAGTTGTTTAGAAATTTGGGGGCATGGGTAGGACTTGCTGAGTGGTGAAATACACCAAAGCATGACTGAGCAGATTAATGTTGGGTTCATTGAAAGAATTCCCCAATGATTACACCCGTACATTTTTTTTCTCTGAGGCCAGAGAAGGATGCTTCAGTTTTATGCTCAGACTATGGGAGTCAAGGTAGCAGAAACCTGGCTGCCGAGATTCTAGAACCTGGATATAGGAAGGAGGTTTGCTGTATGTATACACTTTCATATAATCCCCATGTGTTCAGTCCAGCTCCTTGCCTGAGCTCAGCTGTACCCCAAATTCATGATTTTATAACGTCTTTGGTTTAATTTCTCCCAGAATAAACCTCCCATCTCCTGTGATGATGCGGCAGAAGCAGTTGCCTGCCTGGGTGGTGTGGTGTGGTGTGTGGCAAAAGCTTCTTAAAAAACACTTACTTAACATTCAAGTAATTCTGCTTCCAGCCCAAAACCTCGTTCTACTTTCTGAAATACCTGGCCCCTAAGGTTTTTGGTATTCTGCTGGGTGAATCAGCGTGTTTCTCATTAGTGTTCCCTTCTGTGGGGACTCAGGTTTCCTTCTGCTAAGTCAGTTTTCACATCTCCATCTACTGTTTGCCCTCAGCTATTATAATTTGGATTAACAAAATCTTGATCCAAGCTGTGGGACCTGGATAGACAGAAATAACCTAGCAGCTCAGGGAAATTAGTTCTAGGTTTCATTAGGAAGCAAAGGTGACATAAGACTACTCCCTCAGTTAAAATAACAAAAAAAAAGTTATCACAAATGAGCTCTGGCCAGCAAAAAACAAAACAAAACAAAAACAAGACAAAAAAAACTCTGTAATGTAAAATACATAATACAATACTGAGCTAAATTAAACTAACTGTGAGAATAATGAATCCATAGATGCCAGGGGTAACTTATATTCCTGTGCATTGCTGCTTGTTTTCATGAGTCCAGTATATAAAATAGATCTAATATTTAATGAGTTATCTAACTGAGTTCTGATGTTTCAGCATTGACAAGAGATCTTTTCCAGTCTCACCTTTTAATTTCTAGACACTTCTACAGAAGAAAAATTCTCAACTAAAACAATTCGCAGAATTCCAATAATCTGATAACTTTTGAAACAGAAAATGAGACATTCTTTAAGAAAGCTGTAAAGAGTTTATGACAAGAACCCTTTTCAACTTCGAGTGACCACATGGACTAGGTCCCATGTAAGGCAATGTAGCACAGAGGTGACTGTGAGTCTGGAGGACATGCTCCTTTAAATAGGCAGCCACTGCTCAGTTTCAGGCTATTGTCGTGTGTGAAGACTGGCCCAGGGTAGCTAGATCTTCCAACTTTTCAAAACAAGCCAAAACTTTGGATTTTTAAAATGTGATGTCACAATTTTTAAATGTTGACACTAAACAAAACAAACAAAAAACCATGTGGTCCAAATGCCTTGGCAGGCTACAGTGAGCCCACAGACCACCAGTATGTGAGCACCTATTTAGACTATCAAATTCTCCTTTATCCACTAGGGGCTTTTTTTTCTCTGCCCAAGAGGACGCATCACAGCAGGTCCTGGACACAGACAGGTACCGCTGATTCAGAGCGCTCGTGATACCCTTTGAATTCCCATCAAAGGAACATAAGACAATCACTAACACAGCCTTATCTTCATACCCCACCTTCTCAAAATACACCCTGGAGTCCTGCTTTTCACTATGCCAGGTGGTCATAACATACTTTATAGGTAATTGTATAAGTAATAAAATAAAAAGTAATAACTCAAAGGATTTATAGAGCATCTTTCTCCCAAGGTTGTAGTAGTACTCTCCATGTGTATCATACATCTATACAAGATGGTAAATGGAAAATAATCGTATTCTTCTTTTACAAATGAAGGTGACCTAAGGTGGCATAATCAAAGTGCTTCCAAAATCAAAATGTTCACTCATTTCATTTTTAATTGACGTCTTAAAGACTGTCTAAGAGTGTCCCTACTAACAGCAAGCCAAAGCATGCTTTCTCTTTAATGGACTCTGTTTTTTTAATGACACAAAGTAGATGGTTAGTAAATATCTATTGTTCTGCTTTGATTTGTTATGTTATTCTATGGCACTAGTGGTTGAATTCTATGTAAGGAGGCTCCCAATAGGCATATAATGTTTGTTCACTGGCTGAATATGTCTGCCAACACATCTGCCAAAAACTGTATTTCTTGGTTTCCTTAGCTGTATAATAAGTAGCTGAATGAAATGGGAGAGTTTCACATCTTTTAGCAGCAGATTCTCTTTTACAAGTAAAATTTTATGTAGAACTCCAAGATATGAAACAGATAAAAGCGCAACTACTTTGGCTGAAGGTGAGAGGGAGGCATCCAAGAACTACAAATCTTAGCTTTCTCTTCCCTTCTCATCTTTGTCCCTCCTCTTCTCTCACCCGCGCCCTGCTCTCTGCCTTCACCTCAGAAGAGTTTCAGGCATCTCCAAGGAGAGTTCTCTGTTTAGTTTGAAACTACTTGACTAGGTGGCCTTTAATTTCCTTTTCCGTTTAACTTGATTATTCCTTGAATCTATTCTAGGTAATAACATGAGCAAACCATTTATCGAAAACTGTCTAATGACTAATCTATTTTCATTTTCTCTCCCTTTATACACTACAAAGAAGTTTAACCTTTGATTATCTTAATCTTTATAATGTACCTTAAAAATCACATTATGTATACTCTCTGCTCAGTAAGTTTTGCAACACTGATAACAAAATTGTTATTTCCAAGTAATACAGTGAACTCCTATATTGATATACCTAATAGATACAGATATCAGTACAACAGGTCTATATATTATACATAATACACAATAGTTACAATTCCTTTACAAAAAAAAAGTTTTTAAATCTGTAATGTTTAAATGTTGCTTCTGACTCGGGTGGTTAAAACCAAGATCTGTTTCTCAAAACCAAATGCCACTTGAGGCCACCTTATCTCTATACTTCAGGGGAAAAAAATGCATTTAAAAATGGATGTGAGCTATATATAAAACTATCATTACATAACTTCTTGTGTAACATAGGTCAAACTACACATGAAACACATAAGTCGGTGTCCTCAATTACCATACTGCATATTGAAAAGGAATTACATCGACGTTTTGATTTTCAAACCTTACAATTCCTACAAATCATGTCTGAAATCTAAAAACAGAAAACATAATTTTCTTTCAACATAGAAATTGGCAATCTACCTGAAAGATCCTGAAATTCAGGCTTTTGACTGAAGATGAGGTAGTTAGTGGCAATGAAATGAAGTAGCCAAGTTGAAAGGCAATCAGAGTGGTGAAACTGCAAGAAAAAATGGAAAGTTGAAACAGTACTGTACATCATGACCATCAACATGATGATTAAATCAGAGAGAATGGTCTGGGAGGACTCATGGAGAGCCCAAATCCACGTTTAATGTGTCTGTACAGGATGGGGCCTTCAGCCTACTCTGACAGCAGAAAGGAAAAGGGAGCGTTCATAACAAATAATAATAATATTATATCCATGAAGAAACTGAATCAAACGAATAACAAGCTACCACTGCTGGAGTGGCTGAAAGTCTTTAAGCGGATGCCTGTTACATCTCCGGTTAACAAAGACTCTTTGAGGTTCTTGGGGATTTAGTTTAAGCTTTTAGTCTAAGGTCATGGCCTTCACTGCCCTCACTTGTATCTGTTTGGCAGAGATAAGATTATGGTTAGCAAAAGTATATACACACTTGACCATATCTAAACAAATTCACCTGAGGAGCAAACCAAAAAATATTTTGAGGAGGAAATGCCATCAGCCTAAAGGTATGTGTAGATATTTCTATGAGAAGGTTATGTCTGAATAGGTGCTTTTAACTATGACGTATTGAGCAGGATTTCCAGCACACTTGTCATTCTGAGTTTCAACAGCTAATGGAGGGGGAACTCAGAGCAATTTGGCCATGATATCATCATCTTGGTGCCAATCCAGTGACACTCCATCTAACCACTCAATTTAGATTACGGGAACTTGCTGGCAGGCAACAATGGCACATGAGTATAGTTCTTATTATTATTATTGTGGTAAAATATACATAACATAAAATATTCCATTTTAACCATCTTTCAGTGTACAATTCAATGACATTAAGTACATTCACATTATTGTGTAACCTTCACCACTATCTATTTTCAGAACATTTTTATCATTGCAAACTGAAACTCTTTATCCATTAAATAATAACTCCCCTTTCATCCCTACCCCAAGTCCCTGGTAATCACTATTTTATTTTACCTCTATGAATATGACTATTATAGGTGCCTCATACAAGTTGAATTATACAGTATTTGTCCTTTCTCTGTCTGATTTATTTTACTTAGCATAACGTCCTCAAGGTTCATCCACGTTGCAGCATGTATTAAAATTTCATTCCTCTAAGGCGGAGGAGTAATATTCCATTGCATGTATATAAACATTTTGTTTATATAAACATTCATCTGTTGATGGACATGTTTCCATCAACATGGAAATAATTGTTTCCACCTTTAAGCTAAATATAGCTATTTTAAAAAGAAACTAAAAAATATTATATAAGAAATAATGCTAAATTGAAGAAAGATTTGTAATCTCAAATCTTAAGGCAGAAACTCAAGTATATTAATCTTTTAAAAAGTTACAATGTGGGAAGATTTTAACATATAAATTCATAGATACCTCTGATTTTTATTATATAAAACTAGAATTTTTGAGTTGTAAGAGACTTTATAGTTCATCTAATCCCAGATCACATTTTAACAATCTTTTTTCACCTTATCTTTTAGCAGATGGGTGTGAATGATCTCAAAGGAACAGAGGAAGAACACGTAGCTATTTTAATAGAAGCCATCAGCACTATTAGATGACTAACCCAGAGCAGATGACCTACTGACAGAAGTTCAGAACAAGGCCTAATGACTGTGACTTTGAAAGAGAAGGGAGATCACAGAAATGAACAGCTGGCTACAAAAACATAGTTCAAATGCAGAATTTTATTTTTGACCAAGCTTTAAGATATCATAATTGTTGGCTCTTGGCAAAAGAAGGACTGCATTTCACTATAAACTACTTTTGGGGAAGAATATGTGTTGACCTGAGAAAATAGGTTTAAACTGAAATAAACAACCAAAATTTTTTAAAAAGCATCAAAAAATTATAAACCAAATGCTATAGCATTTAACAGCTCTGTAAAGAATAATAATGGTGGAGAAAATACCCTGAAATTCACCAGGAAAAGGTCAGAAACAAAGCTGGTAGCCTGAAGCAGCCAAATATTAATGCACAGATTAAAAGAGGGTTTATATAAAAATTTTAAACTTTATAAAACTTTAATATGAGAGTAAATAGGACTTCATAGGAATCACAAGTTTGTCTTGGTAGGGTTTAAAGGGGAGTAGAGATAAGGAAATCTCTACCTCAGTCTGAAGGAACTGATCTGGTTAAGAGAATGAAGCCGCTGTTACAAGTTAAGAGCTCAACTTGATGGAAATAAATGAACCTAAATGCAGAATCAAGGTAAAGAATTGAAAGGGGTTAGGGGAGGGTGAGAACAGAAGTGGCAGAATACCCAAAACTGCTCATCTATTTTAAAGGTGTGAATGATGCTTTCATGACACACAATACAAAACTGGCAGAGATGACACCTTCTATTGGAAATTTTGACTATTCAGAGAGCTACTGGGAGTCTAAATCTGCTACAAGACAATTTCACTTCCCAGAAGTCAGAAAAACAATGAGGAAAAGGTTAACTAGATTCTGACCACAGGATGAACTGGCTGGTGATGTGGAACCTCAAACTAGAAACTTCAAAGAGAACTTGGGGAGAAAATTCTTCTGTTGTCTGGGATCCAAAATTGCCAAATTAGGGACCACCAGGAATAGAATTGAGGGAAACTGGTAAATGTAGGCTTACTCTTAGCAAATGGAAAAGTCTTCAAAAACAAACAGTAAAATTTAAAAAGAGTATTAAAATGATACATCAAAATTGAACTCAGGTTGTGAAGTGCTACAAAGAAAAAAGAATTTTTAAATTAAATCTAGAGAGTACCTATTTATCCCATGAGTTTGTATGTAAATATATTACAAAGACAGGTTGGGGTTACTCTATTTTTTTAAAATTTGTTTTTATCCCTAATATTAAATACATATGCTAAGATTGGTTATGAGAGAAATAACTCCAAAATAGTTAAGGAGATAGTCAGAGACGACCTAGATGCTTTAAATTAATTCCCTTCTAGGCCTAGAAAGAATATATGTTGATTAATGAATTCATCTCAACCTGGAGGCCAGCTTTTAGCTGTCACAGAATCGGTCCTTTGCCCCAGTATGTGGCTCTGTTTCAGCAACTTAGATGAAGACAAATTTATCATATTTTTTCTAATTCTGGATGTCAAAGTTGATAGGGTTAGCCAATATAGTGCATGCCAGATAGTAGTTTACACTGTCCTGATAGTCTGTAATGAGGGAGCAAATATATTCCTGTGAGAAAACCTAGGAAGGTTTACCTTACTGCTAGTTCAATACAAATAATGTGCCATGACAGCTGCAAGTCCTAAAACTGTCTTAGAGCGGAGGATGGAATGGCGGAAACCCAGGGTGGGAGGACCCATCTGGATAAACTTCCTGCTTCCAGGAATAAGAGAGATGGGAATGAGATGGTAGATGTCTGACTGGGACAACATCCGGAAGTAGATTTCAAGAAAGCAGACCTAGTTTACTTACAGACCTAGCCCAGTCCTTTTTCAGATTCATATTCTAGGGTCTTTGTAACTACAGTTAGTCACAATTAGTTGAATGTGTAAACTCTGACTATTCCCTGGAATGTGCAGCAATACAATTATTAAAAACCAGAAGGCCCCAAGCTTAGAAGAGGCCAGAAAGCACGGCGTACTGCACTGATTCTCAACTCAAATGTATTTACTGAATATATTTCCAGTACAGTGAGACAGATCAACAAAAGGTGGTTTGCAAAGTACATACAAACAACTGGAACTTCAAAGCATGAAGTGAAGGAATGAACAATGAATACATAAATCAGTTTAGTCTAATCATCATTATAAGTGTGTGTGCCCCAATCTTGTCATTTTCCTTTCAGGAACCCTCAGATGTGATCATTTGGGGGAAATTCAATGCAAATTCCGTTTCCTATAACGCCTGTATGACATTATGACATCATATAGCATCGTGCTCAAATGACTCTAATAAGGGTCACCATTCAGTTGAAAAAATTCCGTATCAGCAAATTCTACCTCGTTAGAAAGGGACTGCTCAGAAACCCTGCTTCAAAATTACCTAGCCACAAAAACTATTGTGAGGGCACGTTAGCTTCATTTAGCCAAATTTCCAAACTAAGACAGGTACTAATATAACTCTTAATAAACAGAACTTTTAAAATACTAGTATAATTCTTTTTATAAGATTTTTAAAAATATCCAACAGGCAGAGATACATAGGGCCGATTACCTTGGCTTTTTTGAGCAGGTCAACGATATCAAGGTTCATGGACGCCAGCTCCCTGCTTGGCATGCTCTGCAGCTGCGTGATGATGAAGAGCTCACAGATGTGCTGCAGTCTGGACACCTGGTACATCTCAGCACAGATCAGGAGGCACATGGCCTGGAAAATGCCAGCTGAGGCAAGGAGGGAGACAAGCGTAAATGGACAATGAAGCCATTTATTTTATGACCTAAAACAAAATAACAACAACAAAAAACAAAAAAATGCTGACTGGATCATCCAATGTAGAATAGAGTGCCTAGACAAAACCTTGACGGGAGTAAGCATTCTAAAATATTATTTGATTTAAAAAAGAATTAATATAAGCCTTCACACTCAGAAGTGAATCGATGTGTTGCTTCTCTGTTTTAATTCTCCAGAGAAGGCGGTTCTACAATTGCCCTTAATACCCAATTCCAGAGCAAGGAGGTAATTCTTTCTGCTAGCTAAACTAAATCCTTGCAGTTTTTCTTCTTCTGGCTTTAGTTTCAGGTTTGTTTGTTTTATTTTAATTGTGGTAAAATAAACATAACATAAAATGTACCATTAACCATTTTTCCAGTTAAATAATTGACATACATCACTATACAAATTTAAGGTTTTTTTTTATAACCTTAAATTTATAATTTTATTTATTATAATTTTATTTATTATAATTAAATTTATAAATTATCTTATAAATCAAACTAAATAAATCTATATTGTGAAATTACCACAATAGGTTTAGTTAACATCCATCATTTCATACAGATACGAGAAAAAGAAAACAAAAAATGTTTTTATCCTTGTGATGAGAACTCTAAGATCCACTCTCTTAACAACTCTCCTAATATAGTAGCAGCAGGGCTAACTAGCGTCATCATTAGCACAATACATCCCTAGCACTTACTTATCTTGTAACCGGAAGTTTGTACCTTCTGACCACCTTCCTCCAATTCCCCCACCCCTTGCTACCATTAACCGTTTTTAAGTGTACAATTCAGTGGCATTAAGTACGTTCACATTGTTGTAAAACCATCACCACCATCCATCCATTTTATCATTCCAAACCGAAACTCCAGGTCTATTAAACAGTAACTTCCCACATACCTCTCCTCCTAACTCCTGGAAATCACCTAGGTTTGTTTGTTTGTTTTAACACTTCCCCTCCTTAAATTCCTAAGATTCTTTTGTAGCTAGAAACCAAGAACACTGCATGATAAATATTTAACAACAAAAATAGATAACCTTTCTTTCTGTGATTTTTCCAATGCAAATATTCTAGTATCCAGCTTAACTTTTTGATTATTAATTTTGACTCATTTTCCCCACACACCTTTTACCAATTTTTTAATATCCTTTGTCATAGTTATTTTTGTTTTTCTGAGCATTTCTTCTAATTCGCAAGATAAAACTCAAAAATTGAAGCATCAATTACTCTAGGAGAGGATGACTTAGAAATCAAATTTTCTTATTATTTCAAATCTGGTCAAATTTTTTTTTTTTAAAGATTTTATTGGGGAATTGGGGGAGGGGAACAGCATTGGGGAATTGGGGAAGGGGAACAGACAAGTTGCTGTCCTTTTGTTCTTCAGTCTAGTTGTGGAGCACATCGCTTTACTGGCCCATGTTGGTATTATCATTGCACTCTTCCCAGACGGCAGCTCACGCCCACTGCCAGCCACCCCCACTGCAGCCTATGCAGTCACCAGCGTCTCAGCTCCAGGTCGAGTTGTTGTTCACCATCTTAGCTGTAGAGGGCGCAGCATCACTGGCCCTCGTGGGATCCAAACCGGGGCCCTGCTGCTCAGAGCTGGCTTCCCAAGACAACTCCTAACCAATGAGCCACTTGGCTGGCCTGAAATCTTGTCAAATTTTT